CTGTGGTAGTCACTAGTCTATCACCCTTAAATCATTTGAATTAAATTGAAATCAAGAAGCAGTCCAGAACATGTCTGCAGTGAACAAAATTTCAATATAGTGTATTTACCATTTAATGGCTCAGACAGAGTGAGGATGCAAGACCCCTGATCTCAGTTAGCTGATTGCTAAACCCCATGACACTGACTGACCTGGGGCTGCAAGACCCCGATTGAGTTCCCCAACCTTCTGAACGGTTGAACTCCACAACGTTCTATTACAAGTTTCCCACGCCCTTTCTTTAAAGATGTTCAAAGTTGGAAACTCAGAAAAATACCCTTGATGACCACCTCTGTCTTTGCAGAGTGGATCCAAAGACTGGCACAGTCAGGAGGTCTGAGAGTGCGGGGGTGGGGAGATTATGGGGGTTCAGGGGCGCCCGTGGCTACCTTCCTGGCGCTTGACTGATGGCGGCTGGGTCCGGAGCAGGCGTGGTTCTCCTTCCCGCGGTGGGTCGGGGCCCAGACTCTATGCTGTAGATTTTGAATGGGGTTCTCGTGAATGTTCAAGAAATAGGAATGAAGGATGTACTTCCTTTTCAATTCCTCTTGACTTACTCTAGTGGACTCCCAGCTGAGACTGTTTGGATCGGGGTCTGTGCAGAGGCGGAGCCCAGTGGCGGGGGTGGGAGAAACCTCTCAGGTAAGGTGTATCAGTCAGCATTCACGGGTGGCACCGAGTGGACCTGAAAGTATGCGTGGTGCGCAAGGATTTTCGAGGTGGGCTTCCGGCTGCCTGCAGACTTGGGAGGAAGCGTAGGAGTGCTGTCCACCAGAGAGCCTGCACATCCAGCTGGAAGTTGAAGGCCTGGAGCTCCTGGAGACACTGCCGAGGGTCCATTCCAGGAGGCCAAGGGTCTGCGCTGGACCCCACAGGTGGCTGTGAAGCCTGCAGTTCCTCTGGAGAAGTGAAATGGCAGACTCCACTTTTCCATTCTCTTTTCATTCCATCTGGGCTGCAAGCTGGTGTCACCCGTATCCAGGGTGGGTCTTTGCTATATATAAGTCAGTCAGCCAAACCTGGAACTGTGCTGCAGGCTGTCAGCAGGTGAGCATCGGCTGACGGCTGATTTTGTCCAGAACCCCAGGGTTCGGGTTTAATTGCAGCACTGGCATTTTGCAATAAATAAGTGGGGTTTGAGTTGCAGTTTGGGCACTCGGTCTCTAGAAGGTTTGCTCTCACTGCTCTAGCAGAATCTTCCACCGACAGTTTCTTTCAGTGACCTCCGGGTGGTGTCTTCTGGCTGGTGACCCCATAGGATAGAAAATCTCGGAGTGAGTTGAGCAGGGTCTCCATGAGACTGGCGTATTGAGGAGAGGACATCCACATGCTGGTGAGAGTCAAGAAGGGGGAGGCGAAGTCAGTGGACCCCTGAACTCGGCGGGAACTACTCATCAGAGGCAGCTTGAGAATGGGAGAGAGCTGAGGGCCTTGCCTGATGCTTGGCCTGAATCTGGTCACGTTCATGCAGAGTATTTATCTGAAATCGTTGTGTAATAAGCAACTGCTTTCTCAGACAGACTATAACATTATGTAATATGAGCCTTATAGTTGGGGCTTCATTTGTGCAAGAAAATAGCATCTCTGAATGTCAGAAGGCCTCAGTAAAGGATGGCGTGATAGTTAACTG